GCTTTGTCCTGAGGTCATAGTGAATGGGGATGCAGACAGTGACGAAGAGTTTGATGATGGAGAGGATCTCGATAATGATATGTACAAGATGTCGATAACGCCTAAACACTCGTTCATGAGAGAAACACAGAGACTATCGAAGATGCCTTCAAGAATTAGACCATCCACCAGTCCTGAATCCTTGTGATTCTAATGGAGGGGAAATGCAATTTTGCAAATTAGGGTTCGTTCTCTTAATACAATATCTTTTGCGAGTGTGTGTAATAGTCTTATCAATATGGATAACATTATTGACCAAACCTTTTTTTGATCAAACCATAAATTAAGTTTTGTATGGAAATTTTGGAAACTTTTGGACAAGTACAAATGTTTCATATTTCAGTTTCTTTTTAAGAGTAAAAGATCTTTTAAGTTCCAATGAAAAGTTTTTTGAAACATGAATTTTGGTAAATATACCGAAATAAACCGTGAAATTGTCCTTACGATTTAGACCGGTACAGTATATCCGCATACCAGCTAAAGAATCTCTCCTCTGCCCTATAGCTTCTTCTCTTTCGTTTTTTTATTATGAAATGTTAATTATATTACCAAAAGAAACTTGAGGTTTGCAAAGTTGATTACATTTTCCAGGGCCAACCAAAACAAATAAAAAGCCGTTAGAAATAATTAATTACTAGAAATAAATTCAAGTAAAGTCAATGGTGAAAAAACCATTTATTTGGAGAGAAGTCCCCTCCCCTGTTTCCGATAACGGAGAGCAAGCAAAGCATCTTTTGTTGCTCTGTCTATTTGACCGAAGACTGTCTGTGTCGAAGACGGCGGACCTCCATGGATGCGGAGATTACGTTCTTTCCACAAGAGATAGATGGTAGCTTGAATGACCAGTTTCTTAAGGGTGGAAGGAAGCTCTCTGGTGGTTCCAATAAGCCAAGTAATAAGGACTTGCCAATCCACAAGGAGCAGTTGAGGAATGCTTAACCTTCTTCGTACGTTGCTCTATATCTGTTGTGAGAAGGAACAATGTAGAAAGAGATGGTCTCTTGTTTCGTGTCCTTCCGAGCATAAAACACATTCGGTGCTTATGTTAATTCCCCATTGGCTTAGCCTTGTCCTAAGAGGAAGCCTGTTCAAGTTTGCTACCCAAAACGTAAAGGAGTGTGTAACGCCCCATCCCCGATCACTTTGAACCCTAGGTCTCGCGTCCTAACTTGCAACACAAAAAATACACTTGCAGTGAGCAACTCCGGGAAGAATTACTCAGTGAGAAAGGCGGCCACACCAACCCACAGTGATTCACAATACAATAATAATTTATAACATTAAATGCATATACTAAACTAAGATATGGCACAAGAAACATACAACCTAGAATGCCTAAACACAAGCAACCTAACCATTCTAACACGTCACAACTTAACTTAACAATTGACTCCCATCATATTTTACACTTCTCAATACATTATATATTCACAGACAAGCTAGCCAATCACCTCATATGGTCAGATCATACTGCTACCTCGACCCATCGACCGGTTTAGGAGCTGCAGTGGGCTCGCCTTGTCCACACTCGCAGACCCGCAATCAATTCTGCAATGGGATCGCCATGTCACACATCCGCACAGACTTACACARGCCGTCGCGCTATAAWATAATACTTYCCATTGGGCTGCAATGGGATCGCCTTGTCACACATCCGCAGTCCAACCTTACTTAACACTTTACACATACTTAGCCATTSAACACATCAAATTATACTCATATACTCATGCTTACTTATACCTTTAACCTCYTGACCAAACAAMTCTATCTCAAACAAACRACACTTAACTCAGCATATAACGGTTAAGGAGACAAATTACTATGCATTGTGAATACACAAGTCCAAACTCCTCACCTTAGCCACAAAGCTACCGGAGTCTCTAAAATCGGTAACAGTCCTTGCTCGACTGGATTTCCATTCTCCAACTCCAATTCTCTTTTGACTCAATCTCATAATATAGGTCCATAAGATTCCTGCCAATTTCCAGCTCATTCCGAGCTCGTTTACCCAACCACCCAATACAATTCATTACATTTGATTATCCAATAAAATTTCACCTAACATACTCGGAAAGACGCAAATAAATGGCAAACTAACCGTCCATTCGAGAATCCGACCGTTGATTCTGAAGACAGTAGTTCATGAGAAACTCCAACAGTTTACAGCCTGATCGGACTTTATATAGATCTCCTAACAGACCTTCAAAGCAGCTGTATCAGAACTGTTTCTGAAACTGGCAGTTTCAGTTCCTGATGATTCTTGCGCAGCAAGCAAACGTCCACGACCACATCATAACTCCTGTGACGATGATAAAAAATTCCATGGCTTCACTGTCATAACCAACTCTATTCATGACCATACGTGCTCTGATGTGACCGCAATCATCCTCCAAAAACGACAGCTTAAAACTGGAACATTGAATATATACGTAGAAAATATTCCGGGTTCAAAAACTGTGATATTTGCTCAACTTTGAGATCAATCTCTGGACAGAATATACCTCGGATTTGAGATCGGAAAAGTGTCCCAGAAACTAGGAAATGAGGCCTATCTAACGAGATCCAAGTCTAATCCCAATTCCTTCCGAACGTCATGGAAACGCCCCCGCAAAATCACTGCTTGCACCACCTTTCCTTTGCTCCTCCTTTCTCTGGTTTTTCCGGTCACCGGAGCTCACGACTGACCCACACAACAGCGGCGGTGGCTAGGTCACGAAGGAAAAATGGTAGAGCTTTGCTACAATGATGATCTCTCCTCCTCCCTCTCTTTGACATTTCCATTAAATATGGGAGGAGTTGGTGGGATTGATCTCATAAATCAATTGTTGGTGGAGATAGTTGTTGTAGTTGGTAGTTCATTTCTTTATGTATATATATATTTTTTTCTA